GCCGGCGGACCCCGGGCGCTGCGCCCGTCCCGAGCCCCCGGCCCGGCCGACAGCGCTCGTCCCCCGGCTGCCGCCCCGACGACGCGGCCGCGCAGTCGGCCAACAGGCGCCGCCGCGGCTGGAAGGAGCCCCCGCCGCCCCTCGTCGCCCGGCGGCCAGCGCCTCCCGGGGCGCAGATCCGCGGGCCACGGGGCGCGCACACCGGCGCGCCCCGGCCGCGGGAAGCACGTGCGGACGCGCGACAGGCGGCTGCGCGGATCGGCCGCCCCCCTCGCCCCCGCGGGCCGTCGCTGCTCACCTGTTCAGCAGGTGGGGGGTCGCCCTCCGGGGGGGACCCGCGGCTGCGGAAGGCGCTGAGCGTCACCCCTGCGTCGCCGCCCCCGTCCAGCAGGTGTCGCAGGGAGCGGGTCAGCATCCGGCCCCGAGCCTCCTACGCCCTGCAGCCGCCGGGAGAGAAGCGTCCGGGTTTCTCTCGCCCAGCCCGGCCCGGCCCGGCCCGGCCCGGGGCCCTCCCGATGCCGCCCCAAGGCCGAGCGAGGACGCGCCTCGCGACGGCCACCCGGCCCCGTGCGCAGCGTCCTCCTCGTGCCGGGGGGTCCCCAAAGCGCCCCGCCCTTGCAGATCCCCCAAAGCTACCCCGTGCCTACTTTCCACCCATCTCCAGAACTGCCCCCCCTCCCGCGATGAGCTTGCTTTGCTCATCCCAGAAACTCTCCACCTAAACCCCCCCACGACCCCGCTGCTGCATTTGATATATTACATTTGTATTCCCTCCCACCGCACGTTATCTGGGGAGATTGCAAAAAATAAGAGAGGGCGCTGCCCCAGGACCGCTGCAGGGCCATGCAAAACGCCCTCGGCGTGCCCCCCTCCCGCCTCGCCTGGTCCCACGGAGTCTCACCTGGATGCTCGGAGGGGGCGCATGGGGCCGATGGGAGCGCCGAAGAGGCCGGCCGCAGTGCCGGGACCCGGGGAGCGCCTCTCCCGCTCGCTCGCTGGCTCGCTCGGGGCGCCCAGCCCTCCCCGGGCAGCCGCCCAGGCGGGTGCCAAAGCAATGGGCAGGATGCAAAGTCCGGATGTGGAGTGAGCCGGGAACAGAGCCAGGAACACGCGGGATGGGAGCCGGGAGCCAAGCAAGCCGGGAGCCGAGCCAGGAAACTGGGGACAGAGGGTGACAGCCCAAAGTCTGGGCCTGGATTCCACGGAGCGGGAGCCGCGAGGAGCAAGCCCATGCCAGAGCCAGCCCCAAATCCCAAACCATGGAACTGGAGCTATGCGGGAATGCTGCGGGAAGAGCTGGAAGCGGAGTCGCGGCCGGCCATTGAGGACGGGGCAAAGCGGCGGGTGGAAAACCCGGAACCAGCGCTGGGCAGAAGTGGATTGGGCAGCCGCGTGTTCAAACCTCAGGGCTTGCCCATGAACAGAACAGGAAGCGGAGCAAACTGGGTCAACCGCGAACTGGGCCAACGGCTGAGCTGGGGCACAGCGGATCTGGCTTGAGCGATGCGCAGAACCCGGAGCTGGATCCAGGGGGAGGCGGGCCCCCGGCGGGGCAAACCGGAAAACCTGGGGTGGATTCGGCTGAGCCACAGTGCATGCGGCAAAGGGGTGCAGAGGGGCTCCGCTCGGTGAGCCCGGATCCGGATGGCAAAGTCAGCTCGGAGCACACAGCGCAGTTTCGGGTCTTAGTGGCGCAGGCCACACGGGCCGCTTTGCACGAAGGCTGCAGGCGGGAGGCATCAGGACTGATTTTAGTGGCACGCTTCGGGCCTGGGGCTTCAGTGTAGAAACAGAGAAACAGCGCGAGTCAGAAGGGGTCTCTGGGCCATCTAGTCTGACCCCCGGCTCCAGCCGGCTCCGCTCACGACGTGCCCACCATGTGCATGTCCAGCCTGTCCTTGAACACCCGCACCGGTGGGGCCTCAGCCACCTCCCGGGGAAGCCCGTTCCACACCCTCGGCGTCCTTATGTAAATATATATCGGCTTCTGACTGTTTACCGCAGCCTGTCCCAACCTGTCCTGTTGGTTGGCGGATCGGGCTTCAGAGAGGGTGAACTGAACCTTGTCCTGAATGGGGTTGCACTCCCTCCTAGGGACAAGGTTCGCAGCCTGGGAGTGCTCCTCGACCCGGAGCTTTCACTGGAAGCTCAGGTGACAGCGGTGGTGAGGAGCGCCTTCCTTCAGCTTCGGCTTATCCATCAGCTGCGCCCCTACCTGGAGTACGACTGCCTGGCGACGCGCTGGTGACTTCCCGCCTTGACTTCTGTAACGCACTGTACGTGGGGCTACCCTTGAAGACGGTCCGGATACTTCAATTGGTTCAAAATAGAGCTGCCAGGCTGCTGACGGGGACGGGGCGTTATCATGTTCACATGACTCCAGTCCTCCGTCAGCTTCACTGGCTCCCCATTGAAGTCCGGGCCCAATTCAAGGTGTTGGTGATGACCTATAAAGCCCTAAACGGCTTGGGTCCTGGTTACCTGAAGGAGCGCTTATGTCCATATACGCCCGGCCGCCCCTTGAGATCTGTGGGAGAGGCCCTTCTCCGGGAACCCTCCGTGAAGGAAATTAGGAGGGTAGGTACTCGGAGGAGGGCTTTCTCAGCGGTGGCACCTAAGTTATGGAACGCGCTCCCCAGAGAGGTCCGCCTGGCGCCGTCGTTATTTGTTTTTCGGCGCCAGGCAAAGACCATTTTATTCAAGCGGCATTTTAATTGTTAACAATATTTGCTTATTTATCTGGCCAGGGCGACTTCTTTTATATTGTTATTTATTTTATATTGTTATTTTTGTATTTTATTGCATTTTATTTTGTGTTGTGAGCCGCCCCGAGGCTTCGGCAAGGGGCGGCATAGAAATGTTTTAATAAATAAATAAATAAATACATAAATACATAAATACATAAATACATAAATAAATAAATAAAGCTGCAGCTCCCGACAGCTCTAGCAGCGGCCCCATGATCGCACTGTCTGGAGATGAGGGGACATGGCAGCCCAACCCATCAGGAGGGTTGGCTACTCCGCTGGGCAGTGGGTCTTGGCATGCTGGGACCTCCCCATCAATGGTCAAAGGGGCCCCCCACCCCCCCACCCGGGAACGAGTGGTGGGAAGCTGGGACAAGGAGGGTGTTCTGGCCACAGGAGAGATGATCCTCCAGCCGGTCGAAAGGGACGCCGCCCGTGGCGCTGGCTGCGCTCCCTCCGCATTCGGGACTGCCCGGCACACTCTCCCCAGCGCTCTGCCTCTGGGCCGGGGAAGGAAAGAGCACAATACGGACCGTCTCCGTCTCCGACTCCCCTGCCAGGGCTGCTGCACCCCCGCTGTGAACCCCAGAGCCACCGACGGATGGCTTTTCCCAACGCGTGCCGTGTGCAGCCTGGGATGCGGCTGCCGGCTGCCCGTGTTCCCCAGGGCAGCGCTAAATCCCATACTCCTGCCTCGGCCGGCCACGCGGAGCGGATTCCTGCCATGGGGGGAGCTGCCCGCAGCCGCACGGAGCTGGCCGAAGGAGGGCAAGGAGCCGCCTCGCCCAGGACGCTCGGCCCAGCGAGACCGAGGCGGGAAATCACACCGCACGGCACACAGAGGTGCTCCCTCGAGGGACAGGCGGAGCCGCGGGTTTCCTTCAGCCGCCCCAGTCTGGGCCCGCCAGACTCCGATCCCATCCAACCCAGTCCGGACAGCTAGTGGACACCAGGTCCGGGGCCGGGCGGGCTACTCCAAGGTCTTTTGAAGCGGAAAATCCTCGGCGGGCGGCAGGGCCCCGGCTGCCGGCGAGAGCGAAGGGCAGCGAGGCCGGCTGGGATGGGGCCCCCCCAGCAGCCCCGGCCGCGGCGCTGGGGAAGGCTTGCTGGCCCCCGCACCACAGGCAGCAGCGCACAAGCGGGGCGTCTGCTCGGCTCCCACGGTGGCCCCACCTGTGAGCGGCAGCCAGAGGGGAAGGGGCAAAGCCCCAGTGGCAGCTGGACTGGGATGACTGGTCTTCCCAAAGCACACCGTCCAGGTGGCGGCCGATTTGGCCACCCCATCGGCCCCTGCCTGCCCTTCCGTTTTCCTCAAGCAAAGCTGCGCTGTGGCCCTTCCCTTCCCGAAGGTGCTGCAGTCCCGTTCAATTTTTTCCTATCTTTGTGGGCTCCCTCCGGGGTCTTGGGAACTCCGGGCCGCCCCATGGCCACCCCATGGACCACACTCCTCCAGGCCTTCCTGTCCTCTGCCATCCCGGAGGCCACCCAACCCCACACCCGCCTCCCCAGGGTCCCCCTCCAGCCCCCTCCTCCTCTGCCCTCCCCTTCTCCTCATGCCCTCAATCGTTCCCAGCATCAGGCTCTTACAAATTGATTTATTTGTAAGCCACCCCGAGGCTTCGGCGAATGGGGCGGCCTAGAAATTTTCTAAATAACTAACTAACCAACCAATTCAAGGTGCGGCAACCCAGATTCAGGCCGGACATCGGAAAAAGCTTCCTCACGGTCAGAGCAACACAACAGTGGGGCCAGCTGCCGGGAGAGGTGGGGGCTCTCCCACGCTGCTGGCATTAAAACGAACCCGGGCAGCCCTCTGAGTGGGAAGGTGCCACTGGGTGTCCTGCAGCAGCAGCGGGGTGGACTGGATGGCCTTCCGGGCCCCTTCCGGCTCTGCTAGGATTCTGCGGGTCTATGATCCCTTGAGCAGCCTCTGCCAGCTCAGGGCCCTTCAGCGCAGACGTGAAGGTTGCATTTTTGTTGCTAGTTGCGAGGTCGTGCCCGACCCATCGCGACCCCATGGACCACATTCCTCCAGGCCTTCTGTCCTCCTCCATCCCCCGGAGGCCACCCAATCCCACACCCGCCTCCCCAGGGACCCCGTCCAGGCATCTCATCCCCTTCTTCTTTTGCCCCCAATCGTTCCCGGCATCAGGCTCTTCTCCAGGGAGCCCTTCCTTCTCATCAGGTGGCCGAAGTATTTGAGGTCCATCTTCAGGATCTGGCCTTCTAGAGAGCAGTCGGGGTTGATCTCCTCCAGGACTGACCGGTTTGATCGCCTTGCGGTCCGAGGGACTCGCAGGAGCACAATTCGAAGGCCTTAGTTCTTCGGCGCTCAGCCTTCCTTACGGTCCAGCTTTGACTCTTCTCAGTGTATTGATTGCTGTAGCCCATTTTAAAATTGCAACTCGCCTTTCTTGATGGAAAGGTGGCGCATGAAGGAAGGAAGGAACGGCCACCCACCCGAGGGAGGCCAGCGGAGCTGCACTTTGCACGAGCGCCAAGGCCGGGCCTTCCTCGCACCCCAAGGTCTCGTTCCCGGCCGGTCGCCGCCACCAGCGACTCCGGTCTCATCGGGGCACGTACGACGGCAAACGCTTCTTGCGGCAACAGGCGCCGTTTTTGCATGCCTCCCTTGGGAGCTCTCCGCAGTTCCTTCGCAGCATGCCGGCTGTGCCCCACCCGCCACCCTCCAAGGTTTTGCACCCCAGCGCCCGTGCACCCCCAAAAGGCCCCTGCAGCACACGACAGGCAAGTCCCCGCCGGAGGCTGGCCGAGGCTCCGGGCGCCAAGGGGCTGGACTCGGGAGGGCCAGGGCCTAGCCCCTACGAGGCCGTGCCGCTCGCTGGGCGACTGTGGGGCAGCCGCGGACTCGCAGCCCCGCCAACCTCACAGGGTTGTTGTGAGGATAAATGGAGCCCCCGTGAGCCCCCCGAGGATGGCTGCGGGAAACCGGCAGCATGTAAACGGAATAAGCAAGAATAAAGCCAGGACTGGACAACAGAACGGCATTTTATTCACACACAAAAGATTTACTTCTTCTTCGAGACGCCCACGGTTCTGCCACGGCGGCCGGTCGTCTTGGTGTGCTGGCCACGGACACGCAGGCTGTGAGGGAAGCGCAGAGTGTGGCGGATGAGCAGGGGAGCAGCCCCCCCCAGCGCACCCTCCCACGGGGCTCTCCGCCTTGCCTGCCCGGCCTGCAGCCCCCCGCCCCTCCCCAGCCTCGCCCACACTCACCCCCAGAAGTGGCGCAGGCCCCGATGGGCTCGGATCTTCTTCAGGCGCTCCAGGTCCTCCCGGAGCTTGTTGTCCAGCCCGTTGGCCAAGACCTGCAGGGAGGGAGAGGAGGAAGCGTCCGCTTGGGAAGGCGTCTCCCCCAGCGGGAGGCCACCCCCTTTCCGGACAAAGGCGCTGGGCCCCGGGCGCAAGCAAGGGCCAGATCTCGGCGAGGTCAGAGGGGACGCCGATGCCGCAGGTCCAGCGCCTCGCTCGGGACCCCGGCACCCGTGCGGGGTCTCCTCACCTGGCTGTACTTCCCGTCCTTGACATCCTTCTGCCTGTTGAGGAACCAGTCGGGGATCTTGTACTGCCGGGGGTTCTGCATGATGGTGATGACGCGCTCCACCTGCGGGGGGCGGGGAAGAGCCCCTGAGTGCCCCCGGGGCATTTCCCACCCTCCTCCAATCACAAGGGAAGGTCGGGCGGGGACACCAGCCCAGAAAGGGAGACGAGCGGGCTCCGGCGGGTGAAGCAGCACGGTGGGGTGCGAGGGCCCCCGGCGGCCGAGGGGGGCGCAAGCCGAGCGTGCACTGCAGCCAGACGCACGCCCGCCCGCCCGGGTCCGATGAGGGAGGGCAGCTTGGCTGCACCCGGGCCCGGCCCCTGGCCACGGCTGTCCCCCAGAGAGCCCTCGGGGGCTGGGCCGAAGGTGCTCTGGCACACGCCGGGGCAGCTGCTCCTGCTCCCACGAGGCCGCTTCCGAGACGGGCTCGCCCACGCAGGCCCGTGCCTCGGCCCAGCCCCCCAGGGCTCCAGGGACAGGCTCGCACAAGCCCTCTGCAGGACTATCTGCCCACCTTCCCAAGAGGGGCCCCGACCGCCCCCGGAGCCCACCAAAAGGCAGGCGGCGAAGCCCCCCGCGCTCACCTCGTCTTCCGTGAGTTCACCGGCCCTCTTGGTCAGGTCAATGTCGGCCTTCCTCAGCACCACGTGGGCGTAACGCCTGCCCACCCCCTGCAGGGAGGAGGAGAGCGGGGACAGGTTGGGGGGCGCGGCCTCTTGCGGGGAGACCCCTGGCAGGGGCGGCAGCATCGCGGGTCCCAGGCTCAACCTGGGAGCCCCACAGAGCTGCAACGGGAGGCCGGCTTGTACAAATCTATAATTTTTACAGATTTCTCCCCGTCATGCAAGTTCAGGCTTACCACTGAACAGAGGCCAACTTCCAATACAGGATTAGGCAAACGCAGCAGTTACAAAACTACAATCACGTGGCTCAGGCGACTATCCAGTGCCAGCCCCTGGGCAAATGCATATGTCACGGATATATGGAAGTCTTAGAGCAAAATACGTGGTGCAAAAAGATCGAGAGGGGCTGGACTGCACCACTGGGCAGGAGTTGAGGCGAGCCTGCTGAGCCAGACGAATAGCTGGAAGACGAGGCTCAGCTCCCTGTTTACTCTTTGGATGTTTTCAGTCAAGTCCGTGGGATGTACCAGGACGAAAATATTAATGTTGGGTGCCGCTTAGGAGCCTTGGCGTTCACCAAATATATGAAAAGCAAACGCCCCAGATGAAATCATTCTCCAGAGCACCAGAACGTTCTCCGATGCAGAGCCAAGCAGTTTCCGATGCAAATGACCCGAATTCGGCTCTTTCTGGAAAACCCACATCACTGCCACCAACGCAGATGTAAATGCTGCGAGTGCTGGCTCAGCAGCCCAGCCAGGCCGAGGTAAACAAGTGGGGAAAACCCCCGGCATGCTGGGCGAGCTGCAGGGCTGTGCCGTGCTGCCGGGGGGTGAGCCGGGGCCGCTGGGTCACGTCCCGCCAAGCTCCGGGGGGCTTGCTTGCTGTCAAATATGCTGCCCGGGCCACCTTTGCAACACAGCCGCGGCAACTGAGCTACAAAAACCCGCGAGGCGCGTGGACGCAGCTGTGGACGCTCCTAGGCATTGCCCTTCCTATAACCTGGCACGCGACAAGAACCAAAGGAGGCCGTGGCTCATCCACCACACCAGATGAGTTCGGCCCCCCTACACCAACAGCCCCGTCCCGTCCTCTCACAGACCTTGATGGCGGTGATGGCAAAGGCGATCTTCCGTCGCCCGTCTATGTTGGTGTTGAGCACTCGCAAGATGTGCTGGAATTTCTCTGGAATGACGAGAGACTTGGGGGAGAGAGAGAAGACACAGGGTTAGGCTGAAGTCGTTCAAAGGCCTGCTGGTTTGACGAGGAACAGGGAAAGGTGGGCAGCACAGCTCCTTCCAGCTCGATCAACGCGGCCCGGGGCTCCACGGGGCAAGTCCCCACGCCTGGGGCGGCGCTGGTGCGAAGAAGGCCCTGTAAGCGCCGCGCACGGCCGTAGCTTAGGGGAGCGTGCAGCCCCTGGGCAGCTCACTCTGCTGCCGGGCTGAAGGCTTCCCAGCAACGCTGCCACTCTAGGCACGGCTCAGAGAAAAGAGACGCTTCATTTGTCCACCCGCGTGGCAGTGAACCAGGCCGTGTTTCAACCCTGGCTGTACAGTGAGCTGCACTTTCCGTTGAAAAGGCCGGAGAGGCTGCCTCCGTTCCAGCCAAAGCAGGATGCCAGAACGCAGGGTGAGTGGCAGCGGGCTCTGCAGCCACCTCCGGGCTGCCCTGTGCTTTACTCAAGGCACCCCACGGGGGAAGGCCAGGCACCCCACGCAACCACCGCCGTCGGAAGAACCACCCGGGTGCCATCTCTGAGCACCGGCAGGGTGGCTGGCACGGCAAGACAGGCAGTGCCTGGGAAAAGCTACTGGGGCGTAGAGCAGCGAAGCCTGGCCCTAACCCTGACGAGGCCGAGGGGTACCAGGAAGCCCTCCTCTCTGCTAAGCAGACCGTCCAAAGGCTTTCTCTCCTCCTGCTGGGCTGGCTTGCTTCAGCAAACACCCCCAGCGGCCCTGACTCCAGTCTGTAACGTCCCGCGGAGGCTTCCGAGTGGACCTCAGCCGTGGGGGACGGAGGACGCACCTCGAAGAGGAAGCCTGCTCTATCCCGAGTCTTCCGCCGGACAGCATCGTCCCGAGCATCCGAGTGGGATGCCGTAAACTGGTGCCTTGCAACAGCAGGAGGTTGGACCCCATGGCCTTCTCGGCTCCATCCAACCCCGCTATCCCATTATCCTAATTAGCTGCTTTCACTGCCTTAGTTAATAGATTGCACATCTCAGGTTTTGGCTGAAGCCATCCGAGCAGTTCTCGCTTCCAAAGTAATTAAAACTACTCAGGACAAATTAAGTCCAGAAAATCTGCTTATGTCATCATTTTAGTTTCATGAGACGCCTATCAGTCCAGAGAGGAGCTTCCAACTCTACCAGTCTCCCATCCCCTCTCTCCCCCCTGCTCAGTGCCACTAATTTGCCCAGTGACCTGTTCCCCCTTTCCCCCCGCACTGTGCCGGCCACGCGTGGGCTTTCTGCGGGCCACCCGAACCCCATCACCTCAGCTTCCCTACTCGGCAAAACGGGGCTAGCGGCACTTCGCAAGCGCACAAGAGCGGGATAAAAAGGCACCGATAAGTGACTACAGAACGGCTCGAGAACTCAGAAGCGACGCCGCCCCGCGGGAGCTGCCTGAGAAACAAGCCTCGGGTGCAGCTCAAGCGGCTCCGAGGAGGTGGGCCCAAAGTCCCAGTCCGATGGGCCCACAATCCCCATCATCCTCACTTAGGGGGAGCTGCCCCGCTGAGCGCGGCCCGGGCAGGCGCCCCTGCCTGAGCGGGCTATGCGGCCCGGGCACTCCTGAAGGGACCGGGCCAGATTCGCCGCGCCTAAGCGGCCTCGTCCACGGCGATTCGCCCAGCGAACGAGGCCCAGGGGTGGGCGGCGTCCCCGCATCGGCCCACCTCGCAGGGTCGTCGTGCAGACCAGCAGCCACGCCAGGGCCCAGAACCCCCCAGGCTCCGCAGCACCGGCGGCCCCCGCGGCTCCTCGGGCTGCACGGCGCGCAATTCCTCCTGGCGCAGAGGCGCGGCCGGGGCAGAAGCTCACCCGGGGAGGCCGCGCCGCCGCACAGGCCCCCCCGCGCGAACGGCCCCCGCCCCGGGCCCCCCCGCCCCG